TAATGAATTTTGCTTTTCGTGAACAAAATTATATTTCCATTAATTTTTTAAAGACTTTATTTATTTTGGTGAACTTCTTATAAAGCTGAACTGCTTTTCTCTAGGATTGTATACATTATGAACATTTTATAAAGTAGCCTTACATAGCAGAGTAGTTTTTTGTTTGTTTTTGTTTTTTTAATTTGCTACCTTTGGTTGTCAATTTTTATTCCAATTTAATTGAGACTTTTGGAGCTGATGTTTGTATTATAATAATGAAGTTAATCATGTTTAGGTATCTGTTAGCCTATGCAATGCACAGGCTTGTCTATATGCTAAAAATCTAAATTATAGCTCTACATTTCTCAGGGCACTGAGAGAACATTAGCCGACTATGACAATTATCCCTTTATTTCACTAATTTTTGTTGAGCACCATCCTACTATGTACCACTTAAATAGCCTATATTCTAGTAGGTAAAACAGACACATGAATAGGGAAGTAAAATATAATGTAATAGATGCTGTCATGGGTTCTCCATAGCATCCTTTGGAGGATATCTTTTACCTAATTTGAATGAGGAATGCAGTATTGGAAGATCAGAGTCTTATCCAAAGAATTTAATTTATAAACTGAGACTTGAAGACCTGAGCAAGAATATCACTGGTAAAGTGGATAATCCCAAGCATAAGTTCTATAGGAAAAAAAGATTGTTTTGAGTAATTATAATATATCTGGGTGATTGAGGCAGGGACCAAGAGATGTGTGTTAAGGTATGTGCAAGGCCTGTGTGCTATGTAAAAATGTTTGAACTTTATCCAAAGGCATTGGAGAACCCAGGAGTTTAACCTATGAAATAACATAATTAAATGTGTTCTTTAGTAAGACTGTGTTCAGCGTGGAGATAATATACATGGGAGCAAGAGGAGTAGCAAAAAGCATAGTGAGTGAGAGGTTATTATGGTAATTCAGAGGAGCTGATGGTAGCCTGAATTAAAATAGCGGCAATGGGAATACAGGAGATTTCACAGGTTGAAAAAAAATAAGTAGGAGGTAAAATATGCTGTTGGAAGGTGAGGAAGAATGCTGGCTCAGTACACACCCTGGCTCTTGAGTTGTACACTGATGATGGTAGTAGCAGGATAGGAACTTGGAAAAGGTGGGCTAATATATCAATTTAGCCTTTTTACAAATTGATTTAAATTATCCGTGGAATACCTAAGTGGAGAGGCTACGGGTGGATATGTTTCAGAAGTGTATAAGAAAAGTGATTAAAAAACTTGAATGAATATTCATACAGGAAAAGTATAGCCTAAGAATAAGATGGGTCCAGGATAGAACCCCAGAAAGGAATCCTGAAATGGAAGGGATGGCAATGGAAGAGGAGCCCTTGATGGAGATTGAGGGTTAGACAAAAGGTCGGAGAAAAGCATGGACTGTAATGAAACAAAACTCAAATAAGGTTTTTAAGAAGGAAGGAGTGGACAACGTATATAATATTATACAAGAGTCAGTAAGATAAGAACTTCAAATAGTCCCAAAGATTTAGCAGTATTAGTGATCTTGGTGTGAACAATTCCAGTGAAATGGTGTAGGGAGGAAGCCATATTGCAATGGGCATAAATGGTAATGAGTCAACAGAGACTGGGCTTTGTCTACTATTTCAAGAACTTTATCTAGTTAGGGGAGAAGAGAGAGAAGAATAGCTAGCAGGGAAGGTGTAAATACATTTTTGAGAGGTACTGGAAATACAGAAGAAAATAAAAAAACTGATGGCAAGAGATCCTAAATTATATGAAATGCTTGGGATCCAGAACACAGTTGAAGGCATTGGGCTTAGGAGGAGAGGTGCCTATTCTATTGTGAAAGATAAGAACGGTACCTTTGCAGATGTCACCACACACAAGCCAGCTGTGGGCTCAGTTGATTATCAGGGCCACTGAGTCCTCACTGTTTTCTGTCACTGCACTCATGGTTCAACATCTGGTCTGGTCAACCAAGAAAGCAGATAAAATGCTTGGTTTCTGCTGGAGAAGAGATTTAATCCTGTGCAGTAACTGGGTGTGACAGCTCCAAATCTTCCCTCTGAGTCTCTTTTATAGTCTCTGTATATCTATAAGGCCATTTATCAAAATGGTGTCTGCCGAAGGATTCAATGGTCAGCCCTTGCATGTGAAGTAACTGTTCCTCCAACATCCCAACTATGGATGGATTAGCTTAAACTCAGGATGCAAAGGGTGTGGTCATTTTAGAAACATGTGGTGCCATGAGAAGTAACAGAAAGTTAATTTTACTAAATCACATTGAGTATAGAAAATAAACATTCTGATTTTGAGCTTTCCTAAGAACTGACTCCAATATCTTCTATTGAAAACTAGTCATTTCACCAACTATAATAGCAACTTTTAAGGGAAAAAAAAAGACATGATAGATGTACCATCATCAACATACTCAGAATGACAAATGCTAAGCTTATACATATATAATATTGGGTTGTCGGAAAAGTCATCATGTATTTTTTCTATTTTTTTCATTGCAAAAATGTGTCATGACTTTTCCGACAACCCAATTGGTATATTATATGTACATGTGAGTGTGTGTGCACATGCATCAAGCATTCAAAATAGGTTTTACACCATGCTGCACTTATTTTCCAAACAACTCATATAAGGTGACTTTCTACTTAAAAAGAGCAAAGCTGAAAGAATAATTCAAATTAATAAATTGATATTTTAAATATTGGGGCTTACATTATCACATTCTTGTTTGATTTCCATGAGTTAATTTTCAAGAGGTACCTTTCTCTAGTATATGGCCAATCAAACCTACAAAGCTAGTAAATCCCTAAATATGGCAATGGCACCAAAAAAACAGTCTAAAAATTCAGCGCATGGAGGAAGGTTCTAAAACAACAGGTCCTCAGTCTAACTCTGAAATCATAGTAGCAATGCCTGCAGATTTTTTTTAACATATTTGTGTGTGTGTGTGTGTGTGTGTGTGTGTATTGGGTTATCAGAAAAGTCATGATGCATATTTGCGACAGATGGCACTAGTTCATTTTTGGAAGCACTAGAGTCATTCGCATCTACTGGCTCGATGGGAAAGTCATGACACATTTTTGCATTGAAAAACATAGAAAAATACATTACTTTTCTGATGACCAAGTATGTTATTGCTATGTTATTTGACAGATGACAGTTCTAGTTTCATTCTAAAAATAAAATTGAGCAATTTGGTTGAGTTTTGGAGATTTTACAAGTTGAAGATGGAAGACCAAACTGTGCATTTTTGCCATATTTTACTGTTTTACTTCCATAAAGGGAAGAACGTGCATCAAGCTTGTGAAAAGTTGCATAAAATTTATGGTGACAGCGCTCTCCAAGAATGTCAGTGCCAATGATGGTTCATGAAATTCTGTGCTGGTGATTTTGATCTCAAGGATGCTCCTCAGTCAGAGAGGCCCACCGAGGTTGAAGACGACAAAATGAAGACATTGATTGAGTCAAACCCACATTACATGACATGAGAGATTTTAGAAACATTGAACATTCATCACGCAAGCATTCACAACCACCTGAAGAAGCTGGGATACATAAGCTGGGATCGATATTTGGGTTCTGCATGAATTCAAAGAAGTTCATTTGACAGCGCATATAAACATCTGCAGTATGCTCATTAAACGTGAGGAAAACCATCCTTTTTTGAAGCGACTGATGACTGGTGATGAGAAGTGGATTGTTTACAACAATGTGGTGCACAAATGGTCTTGGTCCCAATGTGATGATTCGCCTCAAATGACATCGAAAGCAGACATTCATCAGAGGAAGGTTATGCTCTCAGTGTGGTGGGATTTTAAAGGTGTTGTGTTTTTTGAGCTCCTACCAAGGAACCAAACAATCAATTCGAAAGTGTACTGTTGGCAATTGGACAGTTAGAATGAGTCCATCATCCAGAAACATTCAGAGCTGTTAATTGTAAAGGAGTTGTGTTCCATCGCGACAATGTGAGACCACACACAAGTTTGATCACCCGTCAAAAATTATTGGAGCTTGGATGGGATGTGTTGCCACACCCACCATACTCGCCTGACCTTGCGCCATCAGACTTCCACTTGCTTCGCTCTCTTCAAAACTCCTTGCGTGGTATAACGTTCAATTCAGATGAGGCTGTAAGTCAGCACCTTGTTCAGTTTTTGACAAATAATGACAGGTCCTTCTATGAACGAGGAATTATGAAGCTCACTGAAAGATGGCAAAAGGTTATTGAACAAAATGGGCAATATATTATTGATTGACCTTTGTTCTTTGTATAAATAAATGACCTTTGAAAAACACAGACAAAATATGTCATGACTTTTCTGACAACCCAATATATTTTACATTTAAATATAAGGGTTGTATAGACATTACATTGTAGTCTTACAATATACAATTTCCTCTCTTGCATATTTTCTATAAACATCTTTATTGTTGTGCTTCCCCCCTCCATCTTTGAAATACCTGGTGTGGCATAAGCACAGGTTACCTAACCCTAACATACATTGTATTTCTAGCGTAAAATATTATATTATCTTATACAAACCAAGCTTAGTTTATATAAAATTAAAATTCCATTTCAAATACTCTCAATATAATTTATAAATTCTACATATGGATAAAACTAGTATAAAAATAACTTGGGATTTAAAATAAGCCTGAAAAGATACTATAGTGGACAGATATTCTTTTTATACAAGGATTCTACTGTCTACCAAAAATAATTTGCAATTCTAATTGTAAAAAAATATATAAAATGTTGGTTGTTTTAAAACATTTTTTTTTTCCAAAGTAGGTCGGGTTGACTTAAGCAGGAAAAATACTTGATCTATAAGTGACTGACATTTTCTTACAGGTGATTTAGGTCTCCTGACTGAGTTCTATTTTTTTTTTCCTTTTTGGAGATAAAATTGTTAGCCTAGACAGAACTGCATGGACAAAATTTGATGTCTTTAAATAAATAAAATTTCCATATTTTGTTCTCAGGTAAGAAAGAAGAATTTATCTACAAGAATACCAGGTCACATGAAAAATTAGAAAGGAGTAAAGAATATACATACCAATGGCTTCACACACAGGTTGCAATTCCTGAAACAACTAGTTCCAGAAATACAGAATGGTGAGGTCATTTCCTTTAAATTAGATTTTTGTATTGTAAACACATCTTGAAAAGTGAAACCTAGGTTAATTGTGCTAAAGCAAATATGACTTTATAGCCAAAAGCCAATAGACCAGGATGCCAGGTTATAAAAAGGACTCATATAGGATAGTTTTAATCGCTCTTTATATTTTTCACCCTGAAATGTTTGAGAACTCTGTTTCGGTAAGGCTTAAAAACAACAGATGAACTACGCAAATGATACTACTTTGTAAAGTAAAGTGCATGGTGTTCATTAACTGTTTATAAATATCATATGTATTGCGGGTTGTATTTTATTTTGTGTTATTTTTGTTATCATTTATATTTGCCAGTTAAAATTGTAATTCAGTCCTGATGCTGCCACTTTACCAGTCGTGTAACTAATTTTTTAATGATGTTTCAATGGTCAGCTTCCTCTCCTTTGTAGTGACATGATAATATCTATCTCACAGAACAGAGGTGAGCCTACAAAGTTGAGGATATTAAATGTCATATTTAGCAACAAATACGGTCAATTAATTTTAGTTACATTAATATATGAATTAGTTTGCTAGGGCTGCTATAACAAAATACCACAGATTGGGTGGCTTAAACAGCAGAGATTTGTTTTCTCACAGTTCTGGAGTTTATAGATCAAGGAGTCAGCAAGTTTGGTTTCTTTGAAGGTCTCGCTCCTTGGGTTGCCCTCTCCACCTTCTTCCTGTGTCCTCACGTGATCATTCCTCCATCTGTGTTATCTGTGTTCTAATCTCCTCCTCTTTTAAGGACACTAGTCATGGATTAGGGTCCACCCATATGACCTCACTTTACCTTAATTACCTCTTTCAAAACCCTCTCTCCAAATACAGTCACATTCTGAGGTATCGAGGGTTAGGACTTCAACACATGGATTTTGAGGGAACAAAATTCAGCCAATAAAATGTAATATAAAGCATATATGTGCATGACCACTGAACCAGTTTCAAGGAACTAAAAGTCTAGAGATAACTTTTTGACATAAATTTCAAGACTTTCATTTAAGCTACATATATCTACAAAAGAGTAAAAAATGTGCTATTTTAAGCATTTATTAAATATATAAGCCAATATCGAATCTAAATGTAGATGATACTTTGGAAATGTTTCCAGGCATTGTGAGTAATTACTATGTAAATGAGTAACAAATAAACAAACAAAATCCTAAAATTATGAGGGCTAGAATTTAATTTAACAGCAAGTTAACATATATAAAAAGTGAAACCTTATATATATATATATATACATATATATATATATGTATATATATATATATATGAATTGAAAACTTCATGTCGTCAATTTTACCAGTGTAATTAATACATTTAAAAATATGGAAAAGAAAGTGAAGAATGAAAGTGAAATTAAAACATTTTATATCTTGGATTGTTATATCCCATTTCAATATGAGCAGAGACAATAGGAATAAAGCAATCAACATTTGAGAATTTTTTATTTTACTAAGTATTCTAATTACTACAAGGGTAAATTATGTTGTATTGATAAATTTAATGTAATTCATAAGATGAAATTCTTAGAACTATAAATAAATATAGTATAACCCATAACTTCCCATACATATTAACCAGATATGAGAGGTCTGATTCAGAGATTTTTAAACATTAGTGTAGATAATGTGAAAAATAAAAGCAAAACATTTTCAGGATGTAGTTTAGTTATGCTTACACTTTAACAATATCCCTTACTCCTAAATAAGTTATATTTAAATATATGATGTAATAGGCAATTGTTTATGGATTTCCTCTTTTGAAAATATAATATATAAAGAAATAGGTATTAATATTTTAGGAAATTTTGTTTTCAAGAATGGAAGCTCTTGAAAAATCAAATGTTAATGTTCTAGCTTTTAACAAAAGTTAATTATGAGCATTAGTATAATTTATTAAACCACACTAGAGCTATTTTAAAAATAGGAAGCTTTGCCTTTCTCATGAGACAAGTAAGATATATAGGTAAATGTAAATAAAACATTTGTTTTATAATAATTGATTAGCTCTTATTGGTACTGTCACATTTTTGTTTATTGTATGTGTTTTATGTTTGGCAAAAAAGAGTAGCATTACAGTGTTATTTAGAAATTTAAATATTATTTTATGTATTTTTTATGTCAAATTGAATGTAAACGTGACTATGGAAAGATGTAGATTTGTATATGTTTTTACATGTAACCTAATTTAAGAATACTACTATTCCCATTTTATAAATTACTGATGTCTCCCAAACTTTTCATTGAACTTTTCTTTCACAATCTTCCTCTAAATTTATGTAATTATGTGATTTCTGTTTTTGTCACTCTGCAGCAATCATTTCTTGCCTGAGTTAGATCCAGATGTACTTAATGGTGGAAGAGTTCAGCTTGTGGTAAGAAATGTGTTTAAAGTTACAGATAAATGTGTTTAAAGTTACAGTACTCAATAAATGGTACTTTAAAATATGTTCATAAATTAGTGTAAATTATGAAAATATCACAACTGTATTTGGGATAATGTCAAAATGCTAAATATTAAAATAATGTTTTCTCCATTTGCAATATAATTTTAAAATATGTTACTTTAAAATATTATTTCTACATGGCAGATTTAAAAATATTAGCTACAGTACTTAAAATAAAATTAAATGGGAAATTGCATGATGAAATTACTTGGAGTAGTTTCAAAGGATAGAATATTTGAGCGAAAGAACAAAGTACCCTCACAACTTAGAGAATTAAACCAGATAAACATTAACAAGTAAGGTTAATTCAACTGCTCTAAATAGTGATGTATAAATTATCAGAGCTTTAGGAAGAAAACAAGCTGTACACATAGTTACTAGAGTATAGGCACGAGACTGTATAACTGTATGTACATTATTAAAGTCAGTTGTACTATATGCTATTAGAAGGAGGACTGTCTTAACAAAAGGAGAGTGACCAATATGAAGCTTATAGCAATGGAGCCCACAAACAGGAAATTTTCAGTGTGCTTCCAGAAATTTCCAGAGAACAGGGTACCCTGACCAATGACAAAATTGTGTGGCCTCCTTGGCTGGTGAAAATGGATGCATCAGATAATCCTAACTTTTTGACGCTTTCCATTTATATCAACTAATCGTTATTCCTTCCTCAAATTCTGTTTTCACCATGAAAACCAATTATAATTTAGCTTTCCATGTAGAGTTTAGTATAAAAAAAATATACTTTCTAATAGAAACTAGCATTATGCTACCCAGAACACTTGCATTAATCATTCTCATGAACAAATCATTTAAGGGGTTTTCCTGAAAGAAGAGAAAAATTAGGGTAATAGCTAAAATTAATCTGTTTATGGATATATTTATAGATTATAGATTTGAAATAATCACTGTACAAATATTTTTTTTGCATTTTAATCGAGATCCCTCTGGCACAGTGGCATAGAGACTGCCATGGGAGAATTGGCACTTCTGTCTATTAATGCCATACATCTTACTGACTAATACTTTCTCACATATTGTTGGGTGGCCACTTCAGAGCAAGAATGGAGAATATAAAAGTGCCAAGTAATGCCAGGATAAAGAAGTAATATTACATTTAATGTACTTCTAAAAATGAATGAAAATGGATTGGGTATTATTAATCAAAATGGTTGTATGAGATTAATGCTCTAGCATTAATCCCCTTCCTTCATATACACTATATTATACTACATGCAAATATATGACAAATTCATATCAGTGATAGATGCGTTTTTTTCATATTGAAGAAGTACAGCTGAACACAAAGCAAGGAAAATGGTAGTAGGACATAAACACAGATGTGTGTGTGTGTGTGTGTGTGTGTGTGTGTGTGTGTATGTAGACAAGAAGGGATCAAGCAAGGACTTATGCCAAAAGGATACTGAGCTAACCAAAGGCCCAGAGTAGAAATCTTGCAGTGTTGGGGCCTGAAAGCACCCTACCTTGCCCTACCTGTGCTGGGGAACTGGACACAAATAATTGCACACCAGGGACCAGGCCAGAACAAAGAGGAAGGGAAAACCTGCAACTGCCTGTACTGTAACATCCTCAAAAACATAAGAATAACAGCCATAATAAAAGGACAGTAAATTATAAAACAAAATTAATCAAATTTTAATTAGAGGACAGGTAGATAAACAAATGAGTCTGTTGTAAATTCTGGAAATAAAAAATATTATTGAAATAAACTCTGAAGTGGGTACGATAAAGGAGAGAATTAGTGAATTGAAAGATTATCTACAAAAGAGCAATAATTAGATTAACAACTGACATCATATCAGAAACAATGCATACCAAATAACAGTAGAGTCATTTCTTAATATTAGGGATAAATATAAATATCATCTACTTCACTAATTTTCAAGAATGGGGGCAGAATAAAACAATGAAATATTCAAATGCTGGGTTTTGATAACATCTCTGTCTTCCAAACAAGATCAAAGCATATTGTGTAACTGACAGGAATGAGAAAAATGAAAATAAAATACCATTTTACTTATTTCCAAATATAGATGAGAAGGTGCATCACTGATCTAGACAATTATATTACTGATTAAATGTATCTCCCCAAACTCCAGGATTTTCCTACAGAAATAGTCATAGTTCAGGTTCCCCAGGAATCATACTCTGAGATTTTGATATTTGAGTGCAGGACATTTAGTGTTGAAGGCTTTCAGGAACAACTACTTTGAGCAATGAAAGAAGCAGGATTGAGCAGAGAGAAAATGTGAACTGCAGTACAGTTGCAGTAGAGGTAGTGAGATCTGATGATGGGAAGGCCCTTTTGAATTGGTCCAGTTTGAGGCAAGAGGCCCAGGATTTTATGCTCCTGCATTGCCTGAGGAGAGGGTGTAACTTGGGCAAGGCAGTTCTCTTCAGCAATGGAGAATTTCCAGAGAAGAACTCAGCTGAGCGCCACCACGTTTCAATTTTCTCAGCAGCTGGAGGAATCTGACTCAGTTGTTAAAAATTATTTGAGTGTGATATCATAATAACCACTATACTCAGTAAGTTTTTCATTCATGGATGCAACAACTAAGTATATGAAAATGTGTCAATTGTGCCCAAATCTATAAATTAAAAGCAATTCAAAACAAAAGTTTACAGCTGCTTTTTTTTTAGATTTTTCACTTGAAAAATCTCATTCTAAAATGTGTATTGATGAATAAAAACCCAAGATTATAGAAGTCCACTTTGAAAATGAAGACCAACTGGTGTCACAAGATATAAAGACTTAGTGCAAAGCTAAAGTAAACTTTATGGTGCTGGCACGGGCGTGGATAAATAGACCGATGGACATGAATAGTGAGTTCAGGAACAGACCTATAAGTTATAGTGGAATGTAATATATGATAAAAGTGGGAAAGCTCACATTGCTTAGTAAATACCATTCAGTAAACTAGCATTAAAAAAATCAGGACTCTATGTAGATCACATACACCTTTTATAATAGTCAAATGGAATTCAGAAGCTTTGAGGACTCAAATGTGAAAGGTAAAGCTATAAAACTGATCAAATAAAAAAGAATACCTTTGCAACTTAGCAGCAAAGAAAGATTTCTTTAAAAATATACATATAGTACAAATTATATCACAAAAAGTTGATGGACTGTGTTAAATATTCCTTCCTATGAAGGATTTTGTAGAAAAGGTTAACAGATTGTAGACATGGAAAAACGATTTCCAGTGCCTAAAATGAGCAATAGCTTAATATGTAAATATGAAAAGTACTACTGCAAGTAAATAATATAAAGTCAGGTAATCCAGTATACATAGACAGTTCACACAGATGATGCCCAAATGCATAAATGGATAGAAAGAAATGCTCGGTTATATGGCCAGAAGAATAAAAATTAAAAGTAAGAAGTTACATGACTATACTCATCAGAATGGCAAAAATTAGAAAACTGGTGGGCCGGCCAAGTGGCGCGTTGGTTAAGAGCTGGCTTGGGATGACAGAGGGCCCCAGTTCGGATTCCATATATGAGGGCCAGTGACACTGCCCTCTACAGCTGAGATGCTGAACAACAGCTCAACCTGGAGCTGGGCTGCTGTGAGTCACCGGCAATGGTGTAGGCTGCAGCCCCTGCTGCAGTGGGTTGCCATGGGCTACCGTGTGTAGCCGGCAGCCAGCGTGAGCGGCCAGCAGCCACAGTGAGCGGCCATCCAGAAGCCGGTGACTGATCTGCCTCACCCGGGAAGAGCGCAGTGATGGTGCCAACTTGAGCCAGTGAAGCAACGTCCTCCACAACTAGACTGAAGAACAAAAAGACAGCAACTTGTCTGTTCCCCTTCCCCCAATTCCCCAGCACTGTTCCCATCCCCCAATTCCCCCATAAAAATCTTTAAAAAAAAAAAATTAGAAAACTGGGTAATGCAAAGTACTGTCAACAATATGGAAACATATGAGGGGCTGGTGAAAATAGAAGCTAGTACAGTCATTCTGGAAAAAAATCTGTTACTGTTAGATTTTTAGATATTTCATTTTCTGAATGGTATCTTTCTAAGTGCAAATGCTTTTAAATTTGATGAAGTACAATTTATATATATTTTTTGACTTATGATTTTAGTGTTCTAAGAAATCTTTGCCTACCCTGGGTCTGCGAAAATACTTTACTATCTTTTCTTTGAGAAGTTTTATAAGTTGAACTTTATATTTGGGCCCATAATTCTTCTCAAATTCAGTTTTAAGTATGATGGAAGTAGAAGTCAAGATTCACATTTTTTTTTCCATGTAGATATCCAATTGTCCAACACTATTTTTGAAAACAGTTATTCTTTCCCTTTAAGGAAAATCAATTAAGCTTACAAGTGTGGTATTTTTCTGGACTCTGTTCATTACCACTGGTTTATTTTTCTATCTTTATGCACATAACATACAGTTTGATTACTGGAGTTTCATAGTAATTCTTGAAATCAGTCAGTATGAGTTACCTTAACATTCTTTTTCAAGATTTGACTGACTCTTCTAGGTCTGTTGCATTTACATATACATTTTAAAATTTGCCTATTTCTACTAAAGAGCTCTCTAGCAGTATGTTGAATTTATAGATTCTTTGGAGAGAATTGACATTTAAAAATTTGAATCTTCCTACTTATGGATGTGGTATATTGCTTTGATTTTTTTTAAAGCAATGTTTTATAGTTATCATTGTAGGGGACTTGCACATCTTAATGTTAACATTTTTTTCTGAAGTATTCCACATTTTTTTTACATTTTGGTGAATGGAATTTTTTTTTAAAATAAAATGTTCTAGGGCCGGCCGAGTGGCTCAGTTGGTTAAGAGCTCGCTCAAGAGTGTGAGCTCTGAGCAACAGCGGTTCGATGCCAGGCCCGAGCTGAGCTGCCGCTGAGCTGCCAACAGGTGGCAGGATGGCTCAGCTAAAAAACAATAAATAAAAAAATAAAAAAGTAAAAAATAATAAATAAATAAATAAATATATAAAAATGTTCTAGTTTGTTTATATAATTATAAATATATTCATATATACTAATATATAAATATATATATATATATATATATTTCTTCCCAATAATGAGCTTGAAGAGTAATAGTGCATTCAGAGACCTACTTTAATAAAAACTGACAGATTGCTTTCCAGAATGACTGTATCAACTTCTACTTTTACCAGCCATACATATGTGTTTTCACATTGTGAACAGTACTTTGCATTACCCAGTTTTCTAATTTTTGCCATTCTGATGAGTATAGTCATGTAACTTCTTTTATTTTTTATTCTTCTGGTCATACAACAGCCTCGACCCCACCCCTCCACATGTAAACCATTCCTTCCCAACATATACACATCTAACAAAGGATGTATATCCTTAAAACACCCTCACAGACACACCTACAAATAGTTTAGTCAACTATCTGGATACCCTGTGGCCCAATCCAGTTGACACATAAATTAACCCTTATAGTAGTTATCGGTACCAAATAATTGAACTGAAAAGTATAACTAGAAAACGAGCAGAGGACTTGAATAGATACTTTACTGGAGAATACTCAGATTAAAAGTAGCACATGAAACAATTTTAAACCTAGATAAATCACTAGGGAATTGTTAAAGCCACTATATAATACAGCAATACACCTACTAAAGTGGTTAAAATAAAATACTGCCAATACCAAGTACAGATGAATATGTGTAGCAACTGGATCTCTCATACATTGCTGCTGAGAGTGGTACAGCCAATGGGAAAAAAAAGTTTGTCAATTTTTTATAAAGTTAAATATATAATTAACATATGACTCAGCAATTCTGTTTCTAAGCATTTTTCCTACAGAAATGAACTTATGTTTAATCAAAAACCTATACATAAATATTCACAGTATTTTTATTTGTAATAACCAAAAATTGGGAACAACCCAAATCTCATTTAGAGAGTGAAAGGATAAACAAATAGTGGTGCATATATACCATGGATATACAATAAAAATGAATAAAAAGCCACAAACAAAAACAAACTCTTGATGCATACGAAAACATTGATGGATCTCAAGAGCATTATGCTGAGGGAAAAAAAGACAATCCCGAAAAGTTACATACTGTATGATTTCATTTACATAACATTCTCAGAATCATGTAATTATAGTAATGGTTGCCAGTGGTAAGGCTGTGGGGAGGATATGACGCTAAAAGGAGAGCAGTAGAGTTTTTTTGAGAAGACTCAACAGCTCTGACCCGGATTGCTGTGGTAGTTACATGATTTATGCATGTGATAAAATGCCATAATAGTATAAACAAACCCAAAAAAATGCACATGTGAAAAATTGGTGAAGTTTTAATAAAGTCTCTCCTTTAGTAATGTTATTGCACCCATATCAATTTCCTGGTTTTATTCATCACACTTCAGTTATATAAGATACTGGGGCAAGCTGGGTGGAGGCTATAGGGAATTTTCAGTACCAATTTTTGCAACTTCTATGGATTTTTAAATTACTTCAAAATAAATTTATTTTAAATGATTGAACTTCATGTGTAAGGCCTGTGCATTTCATTGCATGTAAGTTATAGCTCTATAAAACAGTTAAACTGCCTTCCCTGCCCACATATGTTATATAACGAGGCCTCTGCCTTATTATATAAGAAAAGGGGTTTGATAGACACAGACCACAGTTTAGTGGTTACCACAAGGTAAGGGGAGAGGGAGGTGGTAGAAAAGTGTAAAGGGGGTCAAGTATATGATGATGGAAGGAGATTTGACTTTGGGTGCTGAACACACGATGCAATATATAGATGATGTATTACACAATTGTACATTTAAAACTGTATGATTTTATTAACCACTGTCACCATAATACATTTAATTTTTAAAATTGTTAAAAAGGGGTTTGTGCGATGATGATAATGTATTATGAATGGAGGGGTATGCATAATTCAGCTTTGTGCAGCCAAAAATAAAAATGGTTTCAAATCACTCATATATCTAGAAATACTCTTAATTTTTTTAATACCTATATATAGAAATACTGTAAGATAGCTTATGAATGCACTTCACTTTATAACATTTTACTTCTCTTTTTAAAAGCTATCTGGATGATAAGTAAATAGGTATTCATTTTTATGTATGTGGTATAGTCTTAACTTCTAAAAATACAAAATTTTAAAAGTATTTAATAAAATCTTGTTTATGAAAACAATCAATAAAGAGGAACTCCCTGTTCTTTATTAAACAAGGAGATTCTCTATTTTTAACTAAGTTGCCTGGGTTTGATGTGAATCAGGATCCAGATGCTTAGAAGTCATGTTCCAAAATTCATACCCCTCATTTCATTGTGAAAATACAGAGCAAAAGTATTACAAACCTGGCAGATGGGGCTACCTATGTGACCTGTTCAGAAAACAAAGACCTAAAACAATTTTGCAATTACTGTTTAATAAATACTTTCTATTGAATTGCACATGAGAAAATTATCTGACATTAACTTGAAACTGTCTGTGTTATAACTATACAAAACGTTTAAAGTTACAGTGTTTTAGAATGAAATATTATAGTTTTTGTAGAATTAGTGTTAAAAACATGCTCAGTTGTATTCAATTTTTAAGTATGTCCATTTTGCATGATATAGAAGAACAGATGTATTTTCTTTATGATGTCTCTATTTGTTAACAGTAAGAGGAAGAATGATGTTCAATTTGAAAGCCAATGTTTTCAAAAATAGAATCTGAATATTAATGCACAGGTGGCTGTGTCAGATCACTAATGGACTTATGAATAGGCCCTCTAAAAATTTCTGGTTTGCGTTTGAGCAGCTAGGTGGCACCACTGTGAAATCGTGTATTACTGTTAAATTTCACTTCTAAACTTGAATCCCCGTTTTAATCTGGCCCAAATAGTAATTGATATTGTTTTCTATTTCAGAAGAACTCATATTTTGGATGTTAATGGCTTAGATTATAACAAGATTTTGGAAGGCATGTATTCACAAGCATTTTCTGAACATGTAGATGTTGTCTTATCTGGAGGGGGTGGGATTTCTACTTTCTATTTAGGCATAGTGAAATTATGTCACCGAATTGAAGCAAATAAATCCTGATTTTAAAATCTTGAGGCTTATAGTTGTAGCCTCTTTAACCAGCAGGTGGGTCCCTATGTGTTCAAACATGTTTTTCCTTAATTTGTAACTGGTCTCACCACAACTGTGGTATTGCTTTGCTATTTCCCCCTTATTCTTGACTGGTTCTTTTTAAGTCTTAGTATTAATGAAGCTATTCTAATGGGAACATTAAACACGTACTCTTGTGTACTAATTGAAATAAAATTCAGAAAGAATGTGTAACACTTTTCATACTAATCTCAGGTGGAAGCTGATTGCTCTTTATTTCATTTTAAGCAATTTTCTATCAAGGTTTTGGTTTTTTTTTTAACAATGCAATTTATCACTTAGCCAGATACATGAAAATGTGACTGATATTATACAATGATTACGATTCTGAATTCAACAATAACAGACTTGCTTACTGAACCATGAGAAGTTCACACATGTAAGGGCGGGGAGGAGGATGTGAAGAAGAGCAAACATCTAAATTTGAAAAAGGACAATCTTTAGATTCTGCTTCCGTGAGTTTTCCTAGCTCATCATATGGGAACAGCTTTTGAACCACAGTGATGATTTTATGGCTTTATTTTGCTCTATTTAAATTTTTCTCATGTCAAAAATTAAGGACAATGCTTTCTCACAGGATTTCAAACATCCTGTGGTTTGGGCTAAATCCCAGCTACTTTAAGGCTGCTTTGCTTTCCTTTATGGCATTTTCCCCTACTTCAGGGCTGAATCCTGATAAATCCTTACTTAATGATACTAGACATTATGTAAAACAATATTTTACAGGCAAGAAGCAATTATTTCAACTCTTAGCTTCAGTCCAAGATAGTAATAAAAATCAAGTGGTAATTTTAGAGGAAATAAATTACGTAATCTTTATGTCCTTAAAATAATATATCTTGAAATTTCTATGTATTTAGTATTACCCTCAAATTAGACTTAATGTATAGTATTTGTATATTAATAATTATTGTAATGAGAAGGTGTAGATCTTTTGTGACTTTATAGTATACAATTGTGGGATGAAAGATATTTCAGGGAATTTTATTGAGAAAATAATACTGACAGGTGGTGAAATATAAATACTGCAGAAAATAATCCAATATGACACTTCTAACATTCAATTAAGAATTAAATAATATTCTTGGTAAGTAAGTGATGTTAAGCTGTGTAAAGTTTCATCAGTTGCCTTTAAGATTGATTTTTGTCAAAATTACTGTACTAAAATGTTTTCTTTTGTTGTACAGACTCAAATAGCAAACCTCAATTTTAAAATCGGCTCTTATTTGCAAAAAATGCTTTGACATAGTGCATTTGTTCTGCCTGGGCAGCAATAAAGGATTGTGGTATCATTTTGAAGAAGGTTGTTTGACAGAGCCTGTTTGTTTATTTGAGGTAATGTGAGCTGCATTCAGAAAATGCCATATTTTGTTTCATGATTGTATACATTCTCTCCCATTGCTCCCAGGCACAACTTGTAAGCAGAGAAGACACAGATTTAGACCTTTTTTCCATGACCAGTGGAAGTGCTTTGTCTGTGAAGAGAGAGAAAAAAAATCAGGCACACAGACACTCAGCGGGATCTTCAAGTAAGTTGTGGTTTCCTTCAGAATTAATTTAGAAATCACAAATGAATTGATGGAACCTAATGCCAACAAGCATTCTTTTACATATAGGGGGTAGAATGCCAGCAACCAGAACTGCCCAAAAAAATGTATATTGCAATTTTGTTTTCCTTAAATGCCTTCTTTTGATATAAACAAAATTAAATTATTTCTAAAATTAACAGCATCAGTTTTATTTCAATTATATTCTATGACTAAATGGTCTACTCTCCCACCCCTGATGGATCACATTGAATTCTTTGATCTTTTAGTTCTAAAAAAAATTTTAGGCTAATTGTAAAAAGTTGGATTTATATATCAAAGTGGTATACTCTGGACTTCTGTCATTGATTTAATAAATGTAGGTAAAGTTAATTTTTAAAGGAAACTTTTTTAAAATAGCAGACCTTAGATAATATTATACTGTCAAAACCATGCTTTAAAAAACTATTTTCATTAAATAGATGACAGTTTATATTTATTAATGATGGCTTTTTACATTTGTAAATCTGTCGCATACATCTATTACCTTTATCATGGTTTCAATAGGAAGTGCATTTCAGTTCTCTCTGAAAAGATGTCAACACTAAAAATACCTATATCTTGTGTATTTGGGGATAATAGAGCCTAATTTTTTTCAAACTTTTCACTTAACTTATACCCCAAGGTTTTTGAAATTTCTTTTAAAATATTGTAGTATATTAGTATAAAAGATGTTTTATTTGATATCATATTTTGTTAATTTCCCCAAAGTACAGTAAACCTCAAAAGTCAACAAATTAGGTTATACTTCATTATCAACGCTAAGTTATTCTTGAAAGAGATTTATTACTCAATGATATTATGGTTATATACATACAATGTCAATATTTGAATGACTGTGAAAAATTCAATGATCAAGGTAGTACTCTCCAGATAAATGAAAACTTCAAAATGATTCTCTGATTTACACTTTTCATCCAGATACTTGGTATTATTAGATCCCAGTCATTTAAATTCATTAATATGTGCAAGTTCATTTTGACAAATTTTAATTTGTTTTTGAAATAATAATTTAAAATGTCTAATTTAAAAATATTTTTCGAGCTTTAAAGTTCTTAGAGGGTTTGAATTTCCTTACCTGGTTATAGAATCTTGACACTGAAAGGTTGCTCTAATCAATATTATTAAGAAAGGAATAGTTCAGGTTTATTCACCTAATACATATTTTTTGCAATATTGACATTATGCATTAATTACATCAATTTTTAACATATGTATTACATTTCAGAAGGAATCAACCTGTGCTATACATAATAATGAATAAGGCTATATTCATTTTTTTAAAATACTTTTTTTTTTTTAATTGGGGAATTAGGGAAGGGGAACAATGGTGGAGAATTGGGGAGGGGGACCAGCCAAGTTGTTGTTCTTCAATCTTAGTTGTAGAGTGCGCCAGTCGCCATCTGGCTGCCTGTCGGCAGCAGGTGGCCTCTAAGCTCAAGGTGCCAAGTTCAGCCTTAGTTGCTGGTGGGCATAGCCACCATCCCATGCGGGAGTCGAACCAGCAGCTTTGTTGTTAAGAGCACATGCTGTATCCACTGAGCCATCTGGGTGGCAGCTCAGCTCAAGGTACTGAGTTCAGTCATAGTTGCAGGTGTGCATAGCCCACCATTGAACAGGCAGTTTTGTTGTTAGGAGCACATGCTCTCACCAGCTGAGCCATGCTGCCACCTGTTGAAAGCTCAGTGGCAGCTCAGCTTGGGCACAGCTCACTGGCCCATGTGGGAATCGAACCAGTGGCCCTGTTGTTCAGAGCTCACGTTCTTAACCAACTGAGCCACTCGGCCGACCCTATATTCATTTTAATCTCATAAGATATCACTTTGTTTGGAGCAGTGTAGATAAAAGGAACAAACCTACTAAAACAAAAACAACAAAAAATTGTCTTTTTTTTCTGATATTCTGATATACAGAATATCAGAGTTTCTCTTCATAATGCATCATCTGAATGTTAAAACATAAATAATAAATTAGCAACTACCCTGAAATACACAAGCTTCATCTTTTATTTATGTGACATTGAATCATAGATTTTTACAGTATAAAAATTATTATATAGAATTTATTTCTTAGCACATTCTCTAAGAAACTGAACTAAGGAGGACTAGCTGAGTGGCATGTTGGTTAAGAGCTGGCTTGTGAGGCCAGCTCTGAGTAGCAGGGCCCTGGTTTGGATCCCACATGAGGATCAGTGACACTGCCCTCTATAGATAAGATGGTGAACAACAGCTCAACCTGGAGCTAGGCTGCCATGAGTCTCAGGCGAGTGAGCTGCCATAAAGCTACCGTGTGTGGCCTGCAGCCAGTGTGAGTGGCCGGCAGCCAGTGTGAGCTTCCAAGAGCTGCCGTGGACGACCATCCAGAGGCCGGCGACCTATCCACCTCACCCGGGAAGAGCGCAATGACAATACCAACATGGGCCAGTGAAGCAACGTCCTCCACAACTAGACTGAAGAACAAAAAAGGACAGCAACTTGTCTGTTCCCCTTCCCCTGATTCCCCAGTGCTGTTCCCCTCTCCCAATTTCCCAATAAAATCTTTAAAAAAAAGAAACTGAACTAAGGATATTCTCACTGTAATTCCAATTAGTTGTCAATAACTACAGATCTCTAAGTCTGTTCACTAAGTGACAATTTACAACAAGCCATTTTAGAAAAATATTTTTTAATTAAATAACAATACTACTTGGCTAATTATTGTACTTATTAGTTTACTATAACATTAGCTTAATATAATAGTAAAGAGTGAGTGTGGGATCTGACGTCAATTTGACTGGATACGAATCACGATTTAATTTCCTCATTCTTAAAATGGGAATAATAATGGAAGTACCTACCTTGTAGAATTGTCTTCAGGATCAAATGTAGAGCATTTAGAACAATACCTGTCCTATAAGTACTTAATAAAAGTGTTCTTTATAATTGCCACCTACACATAGATGTAACAGAAGAATCAATTGAAGTAAAATATTGAAATCTCTAGAATCTAGGCACATGGCCTAACTAGCTCAGCTTATAAGAAACCTACTTTTAAGAGTTGCTTCACTAAAAAACTTGGCATAGCCTATTTTTTATAGAATTCTTTTAACCTTCAAAGTCATTGGGTCCTAGGCCTCCATGGCCCTGCGCCAACCACTTGCAGCTTTGGTATTTTGAAAGCTCTTTTTCCCCTAGCTTTCTCTGTCTCTCTCTCAAAAACTTGTCACCTTATTAAAGCTAAAGTATTTCTTTTAGCCTTGCAAGCCAAATCTAGAGAGTAGTTTATGGGCTGCAGCTATAAAACTCTTTCAGCCTTTGAACTTTTCTAGATATTTCTCTTTCAATGTTGCTATAATATTTGTAACATGTATTCTTTGAAATCAGACAAACTTAGTTTTAAAATCCCAATACCACCATCACATATAACTTGTGTAACCTTGGATGAATCATTAAACCTCTAAGAATGAGTTTACTATCTGAAAAATGGGAATACTAATGTTTTTCTCATATAGTTTCAATGAGAAAGAAATTAGTAAAAATACATGTAAAGCATGTGATATATTGCCTAGCATATAGTAAGTAGTTTATACTGTTAAAGAATAGTACTTGTTGTTTATATTGTTTGTTATTGTTGTATGTTTTATGTTGCTGTTGCATAACTTCAAACAACTCCAAGGTAGAATTATCTTCCTTTTCTTTGTGTCAGATAATCCCAGAACCAGAGTACTTTCCACATGCCAGCCAACTCAAGCAATACATACTGCTTTTCTTAGAGATTTTCCTAAGTTTTCTGTCCTTTTCCTTTTAGATCTTACTGCTCTCTCACAAGAGGCCAAGGCAGTCCTCTGCTACCTAGCTTTCTAATCTATCTTATGGTTTAAAAAAAGATGAAAGAGGTCACATTCTTATTGAAAAATAGCCATTTATAAAATGAATATGCCAAGAGATTTCCTCATGTAGACAATATTTAGAAAAAATATTTGGTTTCCTTAAATGGTTTTGGCTTTCTCAATTAATTTCTCATTTAGTACTTAAAATAAAGGATGCATTACAATAATAATAAATTTATTGCTAAAGAATTTATAGCTTTACAAATTTCTTTTAATTGTCTTTTCTTATTTATAATGATTATTTTTCTTTGACAGCTAATATAAATAAGACTCAGAGAGTTTATTAAACATGCCTTTGGCACACAAATCTTAGGAAGGGAAAGCAGCAACTTGAACCCAGCTTTTCTTATTCCAAACCCAGTGTTATATTGCCTTTTATTCTTCTGTGGACTAAAATGTATAGCTTAGGTGGTAACAGTAGAACTTAATTTACATCATTTTCATTCATTCATTCAAGAGCCATTTATTGAATGATCAGTGCTCATCTATACCTAGGTTAGGCTTCCAGTCGCCTCCTTCAAACCATCTCTGCACTTCCCAGGATATATTCCATTTTCAAAGTTTGCCAGGGATCCAGAATCCAAAAATCCCTCTGTAGTAGTGCGTAATCAGCCGCAGTCAACTTCTTCTTTGCGCATGTCTAAATTTTTATGAAATGTAAGTCCTTTTAATGTGGTTCTGAATCTTATGAATAGGGAAAAAATATTAAAGAAGTGAAGCAGCTACTGTAGATGAAGTGAGTGAGGACGGCTTCTTGTTTCTACCTACAATGGCGTTTGGGATTTAAATAAGGAAAGAAGTAGAAGAAAGCCATTTAAACACAGGCAAAGGGTAAAATATTGATATATACGTGTGTGTGTGTGTATAATATATATATATATATATATATATATATATATATATAAAACATTGAAGAATCAGTCTGCCTGAACCAGAGGATCCACATACTAAAGGAAATGCAAAATAAGGTTGGATTAAAAATAAAGCCTAGTTTCAGGTAAATTGGAAAGTAAAGTGGTAGGAGTGGACTTTCCTACTGATAATGTATAACTAACAAAGATTTCTGAAAATACCT